TACAAAGTCGTCTAGCTAGCCATGACTGTCCTTGCAATCTCCCGCTGCTCTGACCTTTGTTCGCTACCAGGACGATCCCATGCCTCCCAAACGCAAGGCAGAAGAGGCCTTGGATGAGCACAACCACTCCAGCAGGCGCTCCAAGTCAGAGCAGCAGGTCCACACAGCCCTCCTCTACACCTCTTCCTGACTTGAAGCAGGGGAGCACCAGTGCCCATGAGCCGAATGCAGACGACAACGAATACCCCTGGATTCGACGCATCCGCTTGGACAACTTCATGTGCCATAACAAGCTGACGGTGGACTTTCACAAGTACATCAACATCATCAATGGTCAAAACGGAACGGGCAAGAGCGCTGTGCTGACGGCGCTGACTATCGCGGTAGGCTGCAGGTAAAACTCATGACCACAAGAAGAGTGTTTGTTGTAGTTTGTTTTCCTCTCTTACGATGTGCTTGGTCTAATCACGCTCCTAGGCCTAAGCTGACTGGTCGTTGCGATGCTCTCAAGGACCTGGTCGGGCCATATGCGGACAGGAGCATCGTTGAGGTTGTGATTGTACAGTGTAGAGATGATCCTTATCGTGGAAGCAACTCCCGTGAGAACTGGGACTTTGGGAAAGAGGTCATCATCGAGAGAGTGATCCAGAAGACAGGCGCCTCAGCGTTCAAGATCATGACAGAGGATAGGACCGTGGTGTCGACCAAGAAAGAAGATCTGATGAAGATCCTGCAGCATCTCAACTACCAGATCGAGAACCCCGTGCATGTTCTCTCGCAGAAAGACGCCAAGACTCTTCTGCAGTCAGCGACCAAGACAAGCTTTTACGACTTCTTTTTCAAAGCAACGAGGTTGAAGAATGCGTATGATCGCATCAACGAGAACAAGCATCTCGCCGAGCAGCTGACGGAAATCATCAACACGAAGGAAAAGAAGAATGCAGATTGGGAGCAGAACATCTTCACGCCAGCCAAGGAGGCGTATGACAGCATGGTAGACGCCAGAAGACTGGACGAGGAGAAGCAAGAGCTCGTGAGAGAGCTGGCCTGGGCTGAGGTGCATGAGAAGAAGCACGTCATAGACAAGTGGCGATCAAAAGCAGCGAGATACGAGGACAAACTACAAGATTTGAACGTAGACCAAGCAACGAGCGATGCTACCATGGCAGAGTGTGACAGTGCTGTGCAAGACTTGATTGCCAGACGATCGGAGGTAGATGAAGCCTTAGCCAAGATCAAACAGAGGAAGGCTGACATCGAGCACACGATCAAGGAACAACAAGATGAGTACAACAAGCTCAACTTCTCTCGCAACGAACTGCAAACACAGAACACGGCTCTTGAGAAGGATATCGATCTCCTTGAGCAGGAGGTACAGTCCAAGCAAGCTACCGGATCTAAGCCAGCCAAAGTGTCACTGAACGCACTCAAGGTCCGAGACAGAGTCTCTTGGACGCTCAAGGCGGTGATTGATCGATTTGCAACAGGTCAAAAAGCAGGAGCTCGAGGCAGAAATAGAAGATTACGGTACACAAAGACAGGAAGCAGAAGTGCAAGTCGTCTCGCTACGAAATGAGCTGAGTCAGGCTGAGGAAGAGGTAAGCTTGCACGTGCAGCCCTGGCTGGGCTGATACGCTTGCGTTGATCACGTGGATGCTGGAGTCTCACTTGGAATGCAGTCATCCATCCTGAGACGAGAACTCGACAGACATGAGAAAGAGCTCGACAGGTTGAAGCTCATCGGAAGCGGAGACAGGCTTGCATCTTTCGGGCCTGAGGTGAAGCAGATGGCAGAGCTCATCTCACGTAATCAAGCTCGCTTTGGAGGGAATCCCCCCATAGGACCCGTGGGAGCTTACATCAAGCTGAAAGACCAGCGATGGTCCAAAGCCGTCGGGAATGCTCTGGGTCGGTTTGCATCCTACTTTTTGGTTCGCAAGAACGCAGACAAGGACACCTGCATGTCTCTTTGGGAAGAGAAAAATCCCGGACGGAGATCGGACGGGAGGACGTCGCTACAGTTTGCAAGCATGAACTCCGACCAGTTTGACAAGAACATCTGCCCGTACCGTGATCACGATACTATCATGGACGTGATCGAGATTGACAGTCAAGACGCTTTCACGAAGAATGTGATCCTCAACTTTCTGATTGACACTTGTTCGATCAATGAGATCCATGTGGCTGTCAGCTTTCAAGAGGCTACTGGCATTATCCGCAGACGACTAGAATCAGTGACTTTGTCCAATGGTGTTATGCACGAGATTCGTAGAGAAGCGTACAGCTTGGACTCAGAGCAGCGTAATGTCGATCGCTGGCAGAGGGCAAAGCGGGATGGATCGGAAGTGACGAGACCTGTGTACAGCAAAGCTTACTTCTCCGTCGACGTGTCGGGAGAGGTTGAGAGAGTGAAGAGCATCATCGTCGACACCAAGAGCAAGCTGGAGAGCGCGAAAGCAAAGCTTGAGTCTCTGAAGTCTGAGAGAAGCGAATGGGAGAGAAGAGCTGCGGGAGCTACGAAGGAGCTGAACAAGAAGCAGAGGTACGGAGGGAGTACTCACAAGCACGAGATGGAGAGGCTGACACGCGTGAGCAGCGAGCTGCGTCAGTTGAGAGAGCAAATCGAAGAAGTGATGAGCGAAGAGAGCCTGAATGTTAACATCGATGGAACAGCTGTCTTGCAGGAGGTTTGCCTTGACTCTCATTGCCTCTCAGTCTTGAGTGCGTGGAGCTGACTGCGAGACTGCAGGAGATCGCAACCAAGCAAGATAGCATCTTCAGGAACAAGAAGGTCATAGCAGAGCTGTCGAAGAAGCTTTCGGAACAAGAGGATAGGATCAAGACCTCGATGAAGAACAAGGAGGAAATACAAAAAGAAATATCGGTCGTGGCAAAAGACATCAAGCGTATTCAAGAGGAGCTCGTCAAAACTCGAGAGAAGCTTAGCAAGGCAGAGAGTACGAAGAACAAGATTGTCATGAAGATCAGCGACCTGGAGGGCAGGCTAGAAGCCGCAAGGAAGAAAAAGGAGGAAGCGGACCAGGACCTGCAGGTAGAGAAGGCATGGAGGAGGTTGAGACCTGCTGACACGGCCAAAAGCTCTACATGGAAGAGCTAGAGAAGAACGCAAGCGACTGGATCGAGAACGAGTTCACTGACCCGAGAGAAAGGTCGGCGGTGGAGGAAGAGATCCGAGCGATGGAGTGAGTATGCAGGAGAGGATGGGGGAGAGCGCTAATGGAGATCGCCAGGAAGAAGATCAAGGAGATCGAGAAGGGAACAGACTCGCACGTGATCGAGATGGAGTACACGCGGCTGGTGATCATCGTATCTCACACATTAGAGGCAGTACCAGTGATCTTGATGATCTGCAGGAGTCCGAGAGGAAACGACGAGAGCGGCTGTTCCAAGAGATCTCCGAGCTGTCGCACGTAAGGACTTGCTTGTTGATTGTTGACCATCAACATATCGACATCGTCATGACCATGGTCGTCTGCAGAAACTAGTATACAGCCAGAAAATGAGACAGAAGCACTTCACGAAGAAACGATTACTGTATGGGGAAATGACCTCCAAGACGTTTGCTCGCTTGGTGACACAGAGAGGCTTCAAAGGAGAATGTCGCTTCGATCACAAGGAGAAGGAGATGACGGTGTGAGACCCTACACAGACATCTCATCTCTTTTCCTTGTGCTGAGCTGCTTGCTTCTTATCCTCTTTGTTCCTTGCATGGTGATGTTCTTGTTATCTTCTGACCTGCTCTCCTTCGCTGGGCTCTCGATTTCTCGTCCTAGTCCAATGCAGCCCCCTGACGTCATCTTACAGCCCGTGGTGAGGACAGAGTCTCGAGAAGAGGAAGCAGAAGAGACGGATGCAGTGGAGATTCGCAACCTGTCCGGAGGAGAACGCTCCTTCTCGACCATCTGCCTGGTAGAGGAGGGAGGCAGGGTGCCGTAGCTGACTCCAATCAGGTACTATGTCTCAACCAGGTGGACTGTGCACCCATCCTAGCAGTAGACGAGTGGGATGTCTTCATGGATGAGCGGAATCGTCGGCTCTCCCTGGACATCATTCTCAAGGTTCTCTCTCTCTTTCTTCTGCGAGCTGCTGCAGGATCAGCCGGCATGTCTGGTCGCTGAACATGCGGCAGGTGTTGGGTCATCGCCCTCTGTCGCAGGCGATCATCATCTCTCCTCACTCCGTCGACGCTGTGGCTGACGGGCCGAAAGTGAAGAAGATCACGATGAGGCCTATCGACCGCCTTCAGCGACGGATCTGAATCGTTGAGGGCTACAGTGACGTTACAGGCTGCCGTCCTCTCGGCGGCTACCGTCTCACTGAGTCGCTCACATCGACTGGAGTTGACTTGCTGCGGCCATGCTGACCCTCCAGCTGATTCAGTCCATTTGAAACTTGTGAATCAAAACATTCAAAGTGTTACCATCGGATCGCTCGGTGACGTCCTGGACGGTCACCGTGATGGTATTCGACGGCTCTCCTGGTTGTCTTCATACTGATTTTTAACTTAACTTTGAGTAAATTCATGTATCTAATAGCTGCCATTCACACTCTCAGGAGCGGCTAATGACGGTCAACCGGGGCCCTTGCAGGGGCGCGCACTGGGGGTGTGGCCCGGGCGCACTGAGACGGTGATGGTGGCCCGGCCCGCGGCGCAGAGGCCCTGCAGGGGCACCTGCAGGGGGCCGGGCCGCCCGGCTGTGCAGGGTTGGCCCGCGGGGTCGCCGGTGTGGGGACGAGGGCTCTCTGTCAACGGATGTACAGTTGGGCTATGGGAATGGAAGCAGGGTTGGGGAGAGGAGACGGAGGAGGAGGAGGTGGTGGTGGTGGAGAATGAACAACAGCTGCAGAGGCATGGAAGTGAATGCAGTAAGGAGGGGAGTGGATAGGTGGGCAGGAAGCTAAGGAGTGAGAGGAGACGTTTGAGTTGTTCCCTTGGGCCGTGACTGTCGTTAGGCTCCTGTGTGACGATGGGAGTTTGCAGATGAACGAACCTACAAGCAGGTGCTGAAACGTGCTGGAACTGACTGAGTTGATTCTCCAACGTTGAGGTAGTAGAGCTCATCCTAGGTGATATCTTGAGAACCTCTCCTTCTTAGAGTGACTGCGGTCTGAAGAGAAGAGCCGTTGAGAAATGTCAAAAGTGAAGGACCTGAAGCAGCCTGTCGTTCCGCGGATCGACATCGACAAGGCACTCACGAGGTGGTTGATGTCTGCAGCATCCATGAGATGTTCTCACCTCTTCCCAGCCAAAAGAAGACAAAATCCAAGCACAAGCTGCTCAGCAACGACAAGGGAGAGGGCACGAAGGCCTCTGCCGACAAGGAGAAGAAGTGATCCTGTGAACGATCTCTGCTCCTTCCTCCTCACTCATCCTGGCAGGGCACAGGCCATCATCCCGGATATTGTGAAGAAGCAGGAGGAAAGGCAGAGTGATGCCGCCCAGCAAGAGTCCATGAGGAAGCGAGAGAAGCTCAAGGAGGCGCTGATCAAGAAGCTCATGTCCAAGTACCAGCCGGGGATCAAAGACTCCAAGACTGAGCAGCTCATCCGCTCGGAAGTCGACCGCCTCCTCTCCAAGCCCAAGGTCGCCGAGAAGGACCTGCAGGAGGTCGAGAACAAAGTGCGGAAGCAGTCCAACGAGGAGATCTCGTGGATCACCTCCAACCCCTTCAAGAGGTCCCTGCGCTCTCATGCGCACAGGAGGAGCTGACAGCGACCTTGTCGTCCGTAGGGTCACCGTCTTCCGGGCTGGAGCCAACGACGAGTGGGCGCTGATGAACGCCAAGGTGGTAGAGGCAGGGTTGACTGAGGAGCAGCGAGCACAGGAGGTAAAGTCTTCAGCCGTTTCTTCCTCTCCGCAGCTTCTCCTTGTCTTCCACTTCCTGTCTCATGCTCTCCACAGGATCAGAAGAGGCGCAAAGACAACTTCCGTAGAATGGTTTGTTGATCCGCGTTTTAACCTCCTCTGTCTCATCCTCCTCCCTGTAGCTAGACGAGCAAATCTCTGAGCAGAATGCCCGGAGACAGGCAGATAGGGAGGCGAGAATGAGAGAGAGCGGTGAGCGGATCTCCACTGGTGATGCGGTGAACTGAATGTCAAGTGCAGGGCAAGTCGTGGCAGATGTTCAAGCGTACATCCAAGTAAATCCAGCAGAGGAGCCAGCCTGTTGGCAACGATGACGATCTTTGGACAGGCCATGGACAAGAAGAAAGCAGAACAGACGATCCTCTTTGAAAAGGTGACAAACCTTTTCTCCTCTTCTCCTCCTTGTCATTTTACTCTCTTCGCCTGCACGTTCACCTTCTGTTTCTACCCGGTGCTACTTCGGGTTCATGCCTTTGACTTGCTGCAGTTGAGGAGGGCGCGGGAGGAGGAAGTTGAAGCTGTTAGGAAGCGACAAGTGAGTCAGAGGACACGCTCTGCTGACGTGGCAGTTACTCTCTTGCCTGCAGGAGCGCCTAGAGCAGCAGAAGAAGGAAGAGGAGAGGAGGGAGATTGAGCGAGTAGGCCCTCGTCCTGGAGGCTCATCGGTGAATTCACATGCTGGTAGGTAAAGAAACAGCAGCAGGAGGAGATGGAAAAGAACCAGATGAAGCGAAAGGTGAGCATTTGACCGCATGCTCCTTCCTCTCTCTTCCCCTCGTTTCAGTCGTCCTCTGCTGCACCTCCTTCCGTTCCTCTCCTTCTCTTCCTTCCCTACAAGCACCTCCTTGAGTACGATTTCATCCTGTAGGAGGCGCAAGAGAAACTGAAGTTGTGGAAACTTGAGAACGACAAGGTGAGAATCTCCGTCCGCCTCCTCTTCCTCCTTACCATGGTTGCAGAATTTGCAGTTGAAAGAAGAGATCAAGCAGAAGCAGGTCAGTGCCGGAAAGGAGAGGAAGAAGGAAGGAAGGAGTGGGGAGGAGGAGGAGGAGGAGGAGGAGGAGGTCATGTTGTAGTTGGTGCATCTCAGAGTGTTTGGTGACGGATTAAGGAAGAGGCCTAACACAATCTCAGATGCAGGAGGACATGGAGTTCGCCCGAAAGGCTCAAAGAGCGCTGGACGAGAAGGAGGTTTCACAGATCTTCCCCCCTGTTGCCCACTGTCTCTCTGCTCTCCTCCCATGCCCGCCCGCTACTCCCCCTGCCCCCGTTCTCACTCCCTCTGTGCAGGAGAAGCGTCTTGAGGAGCTCAGGAAGCTGGCAGAGAAGATGAAAGCAAGGGAACGATACGGGCAGGTGGGGAAAAGTAGCCTGCTCGCTTCCTCTGATGCTGCTGCAGGAGCTTGGGGAGAAACTCGACGCCAGGGCGAGAGAGGATGAAGCTCGAATGCTCAAGATCCAGGAGGAGGTCAGAGCCCTGTCCACCCTCTCTTTCTCCACTCCCCTCCGCTCTCTTCTCTCTTCTCGCTCCGCTCTCTTCTCTCTTTGTTTTCTGGGTGCTTCGATCGCTCGCTTCTTCTTCCCTGCCCTCCTGTCGCGTCGGGCTCATCAAGGTCGGCAGGCGAGATTGCGAGCCGAGGCCCAGCACCAGGAGAGGATCAAGAGGTCTCAAGAGAGGAGAGGAGCAGAGAAGCTGCTGAGCTCCTTGCAGAGAACATCAGAAGAAGATTGAGATAAAAGAGACGCTAGATCGGCAGGTAGAGGGACTTCCAATTCACCTTCCCCCCTTCCCTTCCCTCCTCGCTGCTCAGTCCATATCCCTCCTCCCCACCTCCTCCCTGCCTTGCCTCCTCGCTCTTCAGTCAACGAAACATCCCCCCCCCATTCTCTCGGCTTTCTCCCTCCCTCCCTTGTCACGTCTGCTCTCTGAGAGCTATGTCATCCCCTTCGGCATCTGACTCCTTGTAAGGTTGAGGAAATGAACCGGAGGAAGGAGGTAGAGAAGCATCTCATCGCCAGGCAGTCAGAAATCTTCCGGCAGCAGGTCCCATCCTCCTCCTCCTCCTCCTCCTCCTCCTCCTCCTCCCCGCCCGCCTTTCCCCCTCAAGTTCCTTCCCGCAGGCGCAAGAGGCTGCCATGGACGAGCAGAGGCGGCTGCAGGCGAGGAAGAGGGACCAGGAGATCTACCGGATGCAGGTGAGTGCTCCTTTCCTCCTCCCTCCCAGCTGAACATCTGCCGGGTCGTCAGCTGGAGGATCAGCTGAGATTGGACGCGAAGCTGAGACCAGCTCGAGACCTGATGATGACGGAGGTATGGATCGGACAGAGAGGAGAGGTGGGGGGGTGGGAGGGGGAGGAGAGGAAGAACGGCACGAGCTGTTGGAAGGAGGAAGGAACCGTGAGGACGTGGAGGCAGAAGGGCACGAGCGGGAGTGACGCCATCTGCTCTTTGGCAGGTGGAGAAGAAGCTGAACAGAAACTTTCGACAGCCTTGAGGGGGTCGAGGGTGGTAGAACAGTAAATGATCTTAAAGTAATTTGAATGAAAAAGTCGAACCTAGTTGGAATGTCAGTCAGATGAGGGCTGGGGATGGTGTGCGAGACAGTGCCAGGGATGAGACCCAGTCAGTGACATGCAGCAACAGCCTGTCTCCTTGCTGTCTCCCACCGTCACGGTGAAGGGCGTACCGCCTGGCAAGGTAACGCTTTTGCCTGACCAGACCTTCCAAGTTTCGAGTTTCCCACATTACAAGTTACCCAGACGGTTGAAATTATGACGCCTTGAACTTCGACGCCGTGCCGCCGCGCCACCCGGTGACCGTCGTGAGAGTCTGAGTCAACCGTTAACAGATCATCGGATCGGATGGCCACCCTTTAAGAGTCCCGGGCGGCTTTGCCAGTACTGATGTTCACGGTTCAGTATGGCTCATGACAGTGATAACCAACTGGAAAGACTTCGGAGTCTCCCGGCCGTCCATCGGTCGCCTGACCGTACAGCAGGCCCGTGGGGCCGCCCGGCCCGGGCCCGCGGCCGGACTCCCCGGACGTGGGCCCGCGCGCCGGGCCGGCCCGGCCCGGCGGGACCGTGCCTCAGTATTACCGGCGCGGTGGCCCGCCTCGGAGAATTATTGGCGGTTTCAGAATCCTTCTTAACGGATTTGTAACGACTTTGCAACGGCCCTGATGACGTTTTATAAAGGTAATAAGTCATCATAACCCCCCATCTGTTCGTGTTACCCCTTTCGCCCTAATCTGAACACCCGTCGACATCTCCTGGCACCCGTCCTTTTCAGCGTCTTTGAAGGGTATGAGTAGGGGGTAGGGGGCCCATGTTCCAATAGCAGCTTTAATTCTTTTTTTTTTTCATCTAAAAACACATTTGAAATTGTAAGTACAATTCCAGTATGATACGTACCGCTATAAGTTTATATTCTGTTAAGAATACCCTCTACCACCCCTCCACCCCTACTCTTCGACCCCTTCACATCCCCCCACAGTCCTCAGCATACCGCTCTCCCTCCCTCCCTCTCCCTCCCTTTCCCTCCTCTCCCTCTCTCCTCCTTCCCTCCTGTTTCCATCTATCCATTCGTCCATCACTCCACATCTCTTTACTCTGGAAGCTCGCCTTCTACCTCTCAGCAAATTTTTAATTGGATCTCAAACTTTTATCAGCCTGTCCCCTGTTACTGAATGCTGCTTTCGATTCGCTCAAGGAACTGTCTTGCAAACAAATATTCTAGACCATACTAATCTTCTGTGATCTATTGTAAGGCTCTCGGCAGAAACAACAGATAGTACCTATATCTCTGTTAGCCCATGAACCTTAATCCAAGTGTAGACCTCTTGTTTCAGGATAGTGACATTCAGTTCAATTTCGATAACTGCAAGAAACCAAAGGCTCTCATGCCTCCATCGCAAGGTCGCAGAGCAAGGCCTAAGCGGCTGGCAAGACACGCCACGGAGGCGGACCGAGAAAAGGAGAGGCTGGGAAAGATCGCTGAGAGGGAGCGAACGAGGGTGCTGCTGGAGAAGCTCGACCCGCTGGTGCCGCTGACCAAACAACCTGCGCCGTCCTCGAGGGGGAGCCTGCGAACGAAGCGAACGCTGATCGACCTGTATGAGGATGCGATAGCGCACCTTCAGAGCATACGATGTGAGGACATGAAGAAGCCCTCCAAGCGGATGAGGGATGGAGCATGTCACTTGTCGCTGACAGTGTATCGGGAGGGGTTGATGATGAGCGACACGATGCTGTGCTTGGAGCTGCTGCTGCCAGACACGCGGGTCGTGCGGGCCAGCAGAGGGCTGGAGCAGCTGTACCTCGGGCTGAGTGGAGGCAGTATGGCACAAGAGAAGTTTGCGCACTTCTTTCATCCCGAGGACCTTCAGCATGCGAGGGCTCACCTGCAAGCGACCGGGATGCTGCCGTTGCAGTTTGTTGCGCGAGTGATCGCGATTGATGCAAGCCGGCAAGGAAGCATGCTGAATGTGAGGTTTGACGCAGCGTATCCGAATGCGATAGAGGGCAGGATGGTCTACATGCTGAGCTTGCTGTCGAGCCCCTCGTGGACGTGCTCGGCGAGCTGGGACGGCTTGTCGGAAGTGTCAGGCGTGTACGAGCTGGTGAGCGACAGGTCCACATCGCACTACCTGACGGACTGCGCGCTGAACCGGGTGGGAGCTGTGGGAGGCTTTCACTTGGGGCTGAACGCGTTTGGGAGCTGCGAGATGTCGAGCTCAGCGATCAGTCGGCTGATGAGTCGGATAGGAGCGACCTACAGCATTCTCAGTCAGAAGGGAAGCAGATTGCTCGAGCGCCTCTCTCAGGTTCATTTTGTGGTTGACTTCAGGCCAGAGATCCCGGTCATCTGCATTCACGTGCGGCTGAGGCTGCCAAACGTGTTCGGGACTTTCAAGACGCCTTGGTCAAAGGTGCTCACGGCAACGTGCGATGGATCGCCGATCGAAGGCATTGTAAGGATCCCCGGATCAGCTGTTGGCTTCTTCAACCACAGAAACGTTCCTGGTCAGCTCTCGGTGCTCTACTACAAGCGAGACGGAGACGCCTGGCGGATCTTTCACCACCGCCTTTATAACTTCAGCCCTGATCTGGTCAGCCTGAGAGGCGAAGTCTTCACCTCCCTCGGAGAAGATCCTTTCCCTTACTCCCTTCACTTCCGCAAGGTCGAGGAGGCCGACCGCACCATCTTAGCTGCTACAGAGCTTTCGTGATGGCTGACTGGCGAGGAAGAGGGGGAGAGAAGGGAGTTTTGCTGGAAGGGTCAGGCGGGGAGTCAGAGCAGGTGGAGGGATGGGATGCGACGATCGAGGAGGTGTTATCACCTTGAGGGTGTACAGAAGCTGTGTCATATGTGCTCTTGCTGGTTTTTGCTTTGAAGCACTTCTATCTTAACATCTGCAATTCACTCTCGTTTGTATAGATTGATTTTTTTGCGATATTTTTGACATGTCGCCCGTGGTCAATGAGAGGGCGACGTGATGGATTTTGATCTGAGCTGACGCGCTGCCTGTCTGCCAAGTAGTTGACGATTTGGACCGTTTTGCAATACTCTTGAATGAATTCTACTGCGCGAGAAACAAATCACCTGATGTCAAGGCCGGACGCGTCACAAGCTGAGCTTGCAGCTCTTTGGCAAGAGCTCCTTGCACGTCGTCACCTCTCCCATTCTGCCTCGCTGATCCCAAACTCCTGCATCAAATTTCCCCACGTTTCCGTTTCTCTCAGCTTTCGGATGAGTTCCTTGTCTTCGACAGACTTGAGATAGTCCACCAGGCGAGCTCGAGCTGCTCGATGTTTTGACTTGTCGAAGTCTTCCCTGTCTCTTGCAGTCACTTCACAGCTCCTCTAGTCAAGACCTCACCGGGACGCGAAGTACATGTCACTTCCCAGCTTGAGCCTGCAGGTGCTCACGTGCTGATGTGCATCTTGTCCGCAGTCAGCGAAGCACCTGCCGTAACGGTCGACGGGAGCAAGAGACGCAACAAGTTCACCATGCGCAGAAGCCGCACGCGCACCTGCTGCATGTGACAGCAAAGCATCCATCGAAGTCGTGGAAGGCGACGTGACATCTCGGACATCTGCAAAGAAACGAGTCACATTTCAGACGTGCCAGCGACCAAGACACTCCTGGTGACCAGCAGCTCTTCGATGGTTTTCTCAGCTTCCCGCACCTTCTCCTCCAGCTTCTTTATCCTCTTCAAACTCTCAATTTCTGCCTCCAATCGAGCTTGCATTTGCGTTTCCAGTTCCATCGTCAGATTCTGCTCTGCTACCTTGAGAATTGTTTTGAGATGCATGTCGAACAACTGTCTCGGGAGGATCTGAGCGAGGTTCGCTTCATCAAGGGGATGTGGGCAGCGGAAATGCGGGCACTTGATATGCCCTCCTCTTGCAACGATGATTCGCATCTCCTCCCTGACCTGACCTTCCACGTAAGATGCCAAGCAATGCTGGCACGTGAAATGATCTTCCATGCACAGGATCCCGTCCTCAGTCCTGCAAGTCCCTCTGCACTTCTCACTCCCCATGATGCAGCAATCTCGCACTTTTGCTCGGGGGTCGAAGTTGAATATCTCCGCGAAGAACAAATCTCTCTTGATCATGGACGCCTTCACGCGCTTCGTCGGGTCTCTCACCATGAGGCTGGAGATGAAGTTGTTGACCGTTGAGTCTGCTGCTCCTTCTTTAAAGCAACTCGCTCTCACCACATCATACGCTACTGTCGCACCGAACGACCAGACGTCTGTCGCATACGTACAGCCCGTCTGCATCAGCTCAGGGGCTTCGAAGCCAACAGTCATGGCGACAGAGCGCATCTCAGTGTCATACAGGCTTCTGGTCCTCTGACTGAGATCGACTGAGATATCGTAGTCTACTAGACGACCTCGAAAGTCGCTGCCTATGAGAATATTGGCCGGCTTGACATCCCCATGGACGACAAGATTCTCGTGCAGAAAGCTCAGCGCCTCTGATACCTCGTAAAGAACTTTCCTCACTTCGTACCATCGAGGCAACGACTCCTGGACCCACTCGTCGAGTTGTCCATGGGCATAGAAAGGCATCTGGATGCAGAAAGACTCCTTCTCCACGTCCTCGAAGATCGCGACAATCTCGACCACAGCTGGATGCTTGAGCCGACAGAGCAGCGCTGCTTCCCGCATGCATCTCTTCAAGGTTTTGATGTGATCGGGAAGATGAAACATCTTGACAGCAAACCACTCCGACTCTTTCTTGCACTTCCACACAGTATGAGTCGCGTTTGTCTTCAACCGCGTATGCTCGTCGAAGTAGCAGGAAATGTCTCTGGTTGGAGACCACAGGGGCAACAGGTCTGGGTGCAAGAGGAAATGCACTTCCTGCATCACCTCCGGGTAGTTGGACGCCACGATGGCCAGACCTTTTGTCTTGTCCCACACGTGATCGATAGACCTCTGGTATTCTTTCTTGGTGACTTCAAGCTTCCTCCTTGCTTCGGAGACGTCGCCTCCCCTGACATGCGACTTGTCACAAGGGCAAAGAGCTGCAAACAAGGTTGATCATACCTGTTTCGAGCCTTCTTCTCTTCGATCTTGATCTCCTCTACCCGGATTTTGCTGTCCTCGCACATTTGCTTAGCGTCACTGAGTTCTTTCAACGCCTTTTCTTTTTCCTTCCACAGCCTTCCGCTTGAGTCCACACACTCAACTTCATTGACATGCTCGCGGTATACCTCTATGAAGATCTCGCTTGCGGTCTCCAGCAGAGCAAGATCTTCGTCAAGAGCGTCTACTATTCGTTCTGCGACAGACATGATTGCATGGAACGGGAAATGCTGCAGGTGGTTGACTCTCTGCAGTCTTCTCTCTTCTTCCAAAGCCATGCCGTAAGCGTGTGCAGCCTCAAGAAAGTTTGAAGTCTTGATTGAAGACTTGTGAGAGTCTCTCACACCCAAAAGAAAGTCTTGAGCCCGGTCAAGCATCTCCCTGCTGGCTTCCTCGGTCTCACTGCCAACATTCGAGAGGCGAGAAATCTCCTCGTACCATCTTGCCACGAGGTCATTGATCTGCTCGATATCCTGCGCTAGTGAGAGCTTTCTGCATGTCGTGACCTCGCTCTGTCTGGCTGACCTCATAGAGCCTTGTAGCTTCTCTCCTGCTTTGATCCCTGCCATGCTCGCTCTTGCTCCCTTGACCCCCTCGCTGATGCTGTCCCTTGTCGCTCGAAGATGTCGGACGAGCGTCTCTAGCTCGGACGCTCCTTGTGACATGTCTCTTCTGCTGTCGTCTGCCTTCACCGTCTTCAGCACGCTCATCATCTTCTGGCGCATCGCCCTGCAGTAGTCTGACCTGTGCAGGTCCCTGTTGCTCATGATCTGCTTCAGATCCCTGCTTTGATCCAGGACAGCTTTCCGTATCTGAGTTTGAGCCTCTTGCAGCTTTGCCTTCATGTCAGATACAGTAGACATCAAGTCGTCCATCGAGCTCTCGATCTCTGCCCTCTCCTTCCCCTCCAACACTGTCACCCCCTCGCGGGTCTGTAGCAGCTCCGAGCAAGTAAACAGCAGCTCCCTGCAGCTGCTTGTCTTGGCCATGAGCCCTTGCTCCGAGAAGAGGCTCCTTCGACCCTCGAGGTCTTGGTGATACTTCAAGACGCGCATGACAGAGCATGACAGAGTCTTCAAGTGCCGAAGAGGAGAGCTGTCTTCCCTGAGGAAATACTCTGGCGAGAACCGCACGTCGGGTTCGCTGGACTGGAGAGCTCGCCATAAGAGGTCATCGTCGGCTTGCAGCTGCTCGTCGGCAAACATGAGAGCTTTGCCATTTTCCTCCACCGCCATGCGAACAAACGGCATGTCCTTTCGTAAGGTGCTGTCAGCATACCTGAGGCACATCCCGTTCTCCGCTACCGCAGCTCGGATCAGGTCCACATCTCGTCTGTGTGCTTCTGAGACCTTGCCGATCAAAGACCCTCGTCTTTGAAGTATGCTCAGTATAGTCTGCTTGTCGTCCCAGGGCGACTTGCCGTTCCCCTCCTTGACTGTCTTCCACACTTGCGATAGCTCCAACCATCTCATCAACATCCTTTTCGATCTCATCTGCTGTGCCTTTTCGATCATCGCAAGCTGCTTTGCGCTTCTGTCTCTGTACTGCTCTCTCAGCCTCTCGAACATCTGTGCTTGCAATTCTTCTCTCCTCTCGCGCATCTTGTTCAGCAGGCTATCAACTCCGCTCTTGACGCTCTGAAAAGTACCTGTGTCTCCCCCATGATCGGGGTGGTTTCTCCTCGCCCACTCTCGGAAGCGTCGCTGTAAGGTCTGATCGGTGAGTAGGATGTCGATCTTGTCGCGGCTGAGCTCGTTCAGCGCCTCCATGGACTCGAGCCCCACCTCTCCTCCTCCGATGGCTCGCAGCGCTGCCTCCTCCATGTCGAAAGATTCCACTAGCTCACTACCCCTCCTGGTGAGGCTGGATTCTGGGGTCATCGACCGCCAATCCTCAGGTGGGAAACTTGCATGAGTCGAGTGATCGGCCGGGAACTGACCCGGCAGGGCCCGGGGCCCGACCGCCCCAGGCAGTGGTGTAGTAGTAGGGGTGCATCACCCTTGGAACGAAAGAGGTGGGGGTGGTCTGGTGGGAAATCCAAGAGGCCCTGATACTCTACATCAGGTGGGTAGCGAGTGGGATCTTGGAGGGTAGGGGTATTGCTCCATGCGGAAGAGACGAGGACATGGCAGAGAGGCGAGCGCACGATGTTGGAGTGAGCGGAGGGCTGTGAGAGACACGTGGGATGATGGTAGAGAGTGAGGACACAGACGTACAGCCACATCACCATCACCGTCCCTGGTGGTGGAGCAGACACGAGCGGGCATGTAAGATCGGAGGGTCACATGGGAACATTGCATACAACACCTAACATGAAGCTGCCTGTACCTTAGTGACTTGTTTCCTGCAGGACGATCGCCCGGCAAAGACCAGCGAGCCCGCACATCATCGACCAGGCCTCCTGCCGCTCCCTTCATACACACCCACTCACCCCGCTCACACATGGCTGAGGACCTAGAAGCTGCAGTCCGACTCCTTGTACCTACCCTGGGATACAGCGGGTGTCTGGAGGACATCTCTAACTCGTCCCTCATCGCTCTCAGAGACGAGCTAGACCGGCTGCCTGGGCTGCTTCCCAGGCTCTACAGGACATGGTCTCTCAAGGCTCATCCACAACAAGGAGGAGACGAGGAGACGTTCAAGCGAGTGACGGAGGCGAAGGACAACCTCCCGAGGCTGTTGTCGAGGAGGATCGAGGAGATGGAGGGACAGAAGCATGCCGAGACCCAGCGGAGGATGGCTGAGCGGATACGGGAGAGGAGGCGAGCACAGGCGGTGGAGCAAGGGGAGGCGAGGGCGAGGGAGCATGGGAAGCGAGCGGTAGGGGAGGCGTTGCAGCATTGGATGGGGGCGACGAGGGTAGAGAGGAGGGTGTACAAGAAGGCGTGCGAGGCAGGGCGGAGGGCAATGATGCGATGGATGAAGATAGTGTACAGGCCATCCCAGCAGGAGCGACAATGCACAGCACCGGTTTACTCAGGAGTTGGTAAAGAGACCCAGCGGAGGATGGCTGAGCGGATACGGGAGAGGAGGCGAGTACAGGCGGCTGAGCAAGGGGAGGCGAGGGCGAGGGAGCATGGGAAGCGAGCGGTAGGGGAGGCGTTGCAGCATTGGATGGGGGCGACGAGGGTAGAGAGGAGGGTGTACAAGAAGGCGTGCGAGGCAGGGCGGAGGGCAATGATGCAATGGGTGAGAATGCTGCACAGGCCATCCCAGCAGGAGCGACAAAGTACAGCACTGGTTGAAAGAGACGCTGGTACCAGTGAGGTGAAGAGTGCACAGGCCTGCGGTCAAGAGATGTCACGTGGGAGCTCATTCCGCAAGGAGGCAGAGAGGAGCAAGGCAGCACAGATACCTCAAGCTGGAGCTCGATGTGAGACCATGGAGCAGCTTCAGCACTTGAGGAGGGAGGCAGCGCTAGAGCGACCTAAGACAGCTCCAAATAGAAGTCAGTCTCGACCATCCCAAGCCGCTTCTCGAGAGCCGTACAGGCCCCGTAGAAACAGACAAGGCTCAGACAAGCAGTCATCGTCTGAGCTTCGCCGAATAATTTCCTTCTTGAACAATCTGATAACTGGTATGGCTTCAAAGAAGCAAGAGAACGCGTCTGAGAAAGATCTGGAGGACTTGATAGTCCCAGCTCTTCAAAGTTTGTTACACGGTACTGCAGCAGACAGCAAGCAACAGGATGTGCGAGATCTGCTGTCAAACCTTGGTGATCACATTCAATTTATGGAGGACAAAGACAAACGAACCACTGTGTGTCTTCGACACACCTACGGGCTCCTTTACAACTTCGTTCACTCCCTGCCCTCCCCTCACGCTCTCCCTCCTCCCTCGGCTGATGTCAATGCCAACGATGACCATCACAGGCTCCCTCGCGTAATGTCATATCGTCCCAAGTCGAGGCAGGTGCATCAGATCAAGGCAGCGCTTGTCAACCTGTCCAGCTCCGCCGCTCTAGAGCCGGATACCCTGCAAGAGCTCGACCGTGCAGGGTCAGAGTGGGTCCGCGTGCTGGACGAGCTGACACGCAGCTGCGAGCTGCTTCGGCCGGAAGGAGCCAACGCGCGTGGCCGAGAGCAGGTGAGAGGGGCAGAGAGCGAGGGAGGCAGGGAGGGCGAAAGAGAATGCAGACAGGGCAGGAATGAGGAGGGGAGGGTCTGTTTCTTGCCTGAGTCTGCGGCAGGGGCAGGGCGATCAGCTTCTTGATCTTGACGCGAGGTGCATGCAATGGAACGATGCTTACGCGAGCATGCGGGAGATGGAGGACGAGAGCTGCGTACGCGTGCACATGGAGGGCATGATCGGCCTTGTCAGGAGGATAAGCGAGAAAGGCGTGAAGGCTCGCGTACAGGAGGAGGCGAGAAGGCATGAGGCGCGAGCGATGGAGCTGGTGAAGGATGTCAAGGGATGGCTGGAGACCATCCAGGGCGACATCATCGAGGTATGCAGAGGGGGCAGGAGGAGGCGGATCTAGCTTGACGGCGTGCTGGCTGATGACGACGCAGGATGGAGATGGCAAGGAGGCGAAGGGTGCGGGAGGCTGGGACGATCAGCCGGCGGGGGGTGTAGGGGAGGGGCGGGGGGAGGAGGATGTCGGGGGCTGGAGGAGAAGGCTGTCAGAGCTGCTGGCTGACCGGGAGGGAAAGCGCCTTGCGAGGGACAGGCAGGAGGAGGCCGCGGCAACGGAAGGAGAGGAGGCTGATAAGGCGCTGATGGTCAGGCTGATCAACTTCAGCTGCGACTGGATCGCGAGGGTGCGGGATCGTGTTGTAGAGGAGCGGACATTACTCGAGTCAAGACTGCGGGAGGTGGAGGATGCATTGATGGGCTTGGAGGAGACGAGGAGGGGAGACGCTGGTGAGGAGGCGAGGATCGAGAAGCTACGGAGGAGAGCGGAAGAGATGAGGAGAAAGATGGGTTTGGTAGGCAAGGACACATCAGGTATATAAGAACGGAGTCGTGAATACGCTGGTAATTCGAGTGTCTGCGTACATTGCATAGATGCAACTCCTTCTCATCTGATGACAAATTCGAAGATATCTGCTGTTCATAAGGGGAATCATGCATTTGATATACTATTTTAGGACAGCTTTCCGTATCTGAGTTTGAGCCTCTTGCAGCTTTGCCTTCATGTCAGATACAGTAGACATCAAGTCGTCCATCGAGCTCTCGATCTCTGCCCTCTCCTTCCCCTCCAACACTGTCACCCCCTCGCGGGTCTGTAGCAGCTCCGAGCAAGTAAACAGCAGCTCCCTGCAGCTGCTTGTCTTGGCCATGAGCCCTTGCTCCGAGAAGAGGCTCCTTCGACCCTCGAGGTCTTGGTGATACTTCAAGACGCGCATGACAGAGCATGACAGAGTCTTCAAGTGCCGAAGAGGAGAGCTGTCTTCCCTGAGGAAATACTCTGGCGAGAACCGCACGTCGGGTTCGCTGGACTGGAGAGCTCGCCATAAGAGGTCATCGTCGGCTTGCAGCTGCTCGTCCGCAAACATGAGAGCTTTGCCATTTTCCTCCACCGCCATGCGGACAAACGACATGTCCTTTCGTAAGGTGCTGTCAGCATACCTGAGGCACATCCCGTTCTCCGCTACCGCAGCTCGGATCAGGTCCACATCTCGCCTGTGTGCTTCTGAGACCTTACCGATCAAAGACCCTCGTCTTTGAAGTATGCTCAGTATAGTCTGCTTGTCGTCCCAGGGCGACTTGTCGTTCCCCTCCTTGACTGTCTTCCACACTTGCGATAGCTCCAACCATCTCATCAACATCCTTTTCGATCTCATCTGCTGTGCCTTCTCGATCATCGCAAGCTGCTTTGCGCTTCTGTCTCTGTACTGCTCTCTCAGCCTCTCGAACATCTGTGCTTGCAATTCTTCGCTCCTCTCGCGCATCTTGTTCAGCAGGCTATCAACTCCGCTCTTGACGCTCTGAAAAGTACCTGTGTCTCCCCCATGATCGGGATGGTTTCTCCTCGCCCACTCTCGGAAGCGTCGCTGTAAGGTCTGATCGGTGAGTAGGATGTCGATCTTGTCGCGGCTGAGCTCGTTCAGCGCCTCCATGGACTCGAGCCTCACCTCTCCTCCTCCGATAGCTCGCAGCGCTGCCTCCTCCATGTCGAAGGATTCCACTAGCTCACTACCCCTCCTGGTGAGGCTGGACTCTGGGGTCATCGACCGCCAATCCTCAGGTGGGAAACTTGCATGAGTCGAGTGATCGGCCGGGAACTGACCCGGCAGGGCCCGGGGCCCGACCGCCCCAGGCAGTGGTGTAGTAGTAGGGGTGCATCACCCTTGGAACGAAAGAGGTGGGGGTGGTCTGGTGGGAAATCCAAGAGGCCCTGATACTCTACATCAGGTGGGTAGCGAGTGGGATCTTGGAGGGTAGGGGTATTGCTCCATGCGGAAGAGACGAGGACATGGCAGAGAGGCGAGCGCAAGATGTTGGAGTGAGCGGAGGGCTGTGAGAGACACGTGGGATGATGGTAGAGAGTGAGGACACAGACGTACAGCCACATCACCATCACCGTCCCTGGTGGTGGAGCAGACACGAGCGGGCATGTAAGATCGGAGGGTCACATGGGAAATTGGAAGCACCAAACATGAAGCTGCCTGTACCTTAGTGACTTGTTTCCTGCAGGACGATCGCCCGGCAAAGACCAGCGAGCCCGCACATCATCGACCAGGCCTCCTGCCGCTCCCTTCATACGCACCCACTCACCCCGCTCACACATGGCTGAGGACCTAGAAGCTGCAGTCCGACTCCTTGTACCTACCCTGGGATACAGCGGGTGTCTGGAAGACTTCTCCAACGCTTCCCTCATCGCTCTCAGAGACGAGCTAGACCGGCTGCCTGGGCTGCTTCCCAGGCTCTACAGGACATGGTCTCTCAAGGCTCATCCGGACAAGGGGGGAAACGAGGAGACGTTCAAGCGAGTGACGGAGGCGAAGGACAACCTCCCGAGGCTGCTGTCGAGGAGGATCGAGGAGATGGAGGGACAGAAGCATGCCGAGACCCAGCGGAGGATGGCTGAGCGGATACGGGAGAGGAGGCGAGTACAGGCGGTGGAGCAAGGGGAGGCGAAGGCGAGGGAGCATGGGAAGCGAGCGGTAGGGGAGGCGTTGCAGCATTGGATGGGGGCGACGAGGGTAGAGAGGAGGGTGTACAAGAAGGCGTGCGAGGCAGGGCGGAGGGCAATGATGCGATGGATGAGAATGCTGCATAGGCCATCCCAGCAGGAGCGACAATGCACAGCATTGGTTGAAAGAGACGCTGGTACCAGTGAGGTGAAGAGTGCACAGGCCTGCGGTCAAGAGATGTCACGTGGGAGCTCATTCCGCAAGGAGGCAGAGAGGAGCAAGGCAGCACAGATACCTCAAGCTGGAGCTCGATGTGAGACCATGGAGCAGCTTCAGCACTTGAGGAGGGAGGCAGCGCTAGAGCGACCTAAGACAGCTCCAGATAGAAGTCAGTCTCGACCATCCCAAGCCGCTTCTCGAGAGCCGTACAGGCCCCGTAGAAACAGACAAGGCTCAGACAAGCAGTCATCGTCTTGGGCTCAAAACATATTTTCCTTCTTGAACAATCTGATAACTGGTATGGCTTCAAAGAAGCAAGAGAACGCGTCTGAGAAAGATCTGGAGGACTTGATAGTCCCAGCTCTTCAAAGTTTGTTACACGGTACTGCAGCAGACGGCAAGCAACAGGATGTGCGAGATCTGCTGTCAAACCTTGGTGATCACGTTCAATTTATGGAGGACAAAGACAGTCGAACCACTTTGTGTCTACGACACACCTACGAGCTCCTTTACAACTTCGTTCACTCCCTGCCCTCCCCTCACGCTCTCCCTCCTCCCTCGGCTGATGTCAATGCCAACGATGACCATCACAGGCTCCCTCGCGTCATGTCGTATCGTCCCAAGTCGAGGCAGGTGCATCAGATCAAGACAGCGCTTGTCAACCTGTCCAGCTCCGCCGCTCTAGAGCCGGATACCCTGCAAGAGCTCGACCGTGCGGGGTCAGAGTGGGTCCGCGTGCTGGACGAGCTGACAAGCAGCTGCGAGCTGCTTCGGCTGGAAGGACCCGACGCGCGCGGCCGAGAGCAGGTGAGAGGGGCGGAGAGCGAGGGAGGCAGGGAGGGCGAAAGAGAAAGCAAAGAAAGGGCAGGAATGAGGAGGGGAGGGTCTGTTTCTTGCCTGAGTCTGCGGCAGGGGCAGGGCGATCAGCTTCTTGATGTTGACGCGAGGTGCATGCAATGGGACGATGCTTACGCGAGCATGCGGGAGATGGAGGACGAGAGCTGCGTACGCGTGCACATGGAGGGCATGATCGGCCTTGTCAGGAGGATAAGCGAGAAAGGCGTGAAGGCTCGCGTACAGGAGGAGGCGAGAAGGCATGAGGCGCGAGCGATGGAGCTGGTGAAGGATGTCAAGGGATGGCTGGAGACCATCCAGGGCGACATCATCGAGGTATGCAGAGGGGGCAGGAGGAGGCGGATCGAGCTTGACGGCGTGCTGGCTGATGACGACGCAGGATGGAGATCGCAAGGAGGCGAAGGGTGCGGGAGGCTGGGGGGATCAGCCGGCGGGGGATGTAGGGGAGGGGCGGGGGGAGGAGACTGTCGGACACTGGAGGAGGAGGCTGTCAGAGCTGCTGACTGACCGGGAGGGAAAGCGCCTTGCGAGGGACAGGCAGGAGGAGGCCGCGGCAACGGAAGGAGAGGAGGCTGAGCTGCTGGTGGTCAGGCTCATCAACTTCAGCTGCGACTGGATCGCGAGGGTGCGGGATCGTGTTGTAGAGGGGCGGACATTACTTGAGTCAAGACTGCGGGAGGTGGAGGATGCATTGATGGGCTTGGAGGAGACGAGGAGGGGAGACGCTGGGGAAGAGGCGAAGATCAAGAGACTACGGAGGAGAGCGGAAGAGATGAGGAGAAAGATGGGTTTGGTAGGCAAGGACACATCAGGTATGAGAACAGAGTCGTGAACAAGCTGGTACGTCGGACTGTTCGGTAAATTTGCAAGAGGAAAATGCAACTTGCTGTTATGGACTGTCTCAGTGCAAGCATTCCACACAACAATGTTTTTTTGTTGACGATTGTCATGGGCAATATACATTTGTGATACTCAAGATGATTTTACAATGAGACGATAAAGAGTAAGATCTATTCAATTTTACCGAACAGTCCGACGTACCAGCTTGTTCACGACTCCGTTCTCATACCTGATGTGTCCTTGCCTACCAAACCCATC